ACGAGGTCAAATTTAAATTCACTATCTTGGGCGAAGTCAGTTTTGACTTGTATACTCGAGCGGGAGTGAATTTTGACTTATTTAGGCGAAGTCGATTTTTTCTGTATGTATTCGAGCGGGATCGAACTTGGAGTTGCCAACTTGGGCGGAAGTTTGGCTTATATGCTCGTGCGTGGTCGAACTTGGAGTCACCATCTTGGGCGGAGTCAATTTCTGACTTATATATTCGAACAGGGTCAAAATTTTATCGGTTGATTCGAGTGGGCAAATTTTTACTCTTACCCCTCGGTGGCCGATAGCCGCAAGGGTGTTTTTTTGAGCGCGGTCGAAATTATAATCCGTTTTGAATTCGAGCAAGGTCGAACCTTCCATTCATATGGCGATGGCCGGCGACCGTAAGGGTGTTAATTCGAGCAAGGTCGAAGTTATAATCCGTTGTGAATTCAAGAGAAGTCGAACTTCTCTTTTGGCGAAGGCCGAGGGCCGTAAGGGTGTTATTTCGAGCGAGGTCGAAATTATAACCTATTTTGAGTTCGAGCGAGGTCGAACCTTCCTTTCATATAGCGATGGCCGATGGCCGTAAGGGTGTTAATTCGAGCGAGGTCGAAATTATAACCCGTTGTGAATTCAAGAGAAGTCGAACTTCTCTTTTGGCGAAGGCCGATGGCTGTAGGGGTGTTATTTCGAGCGAGGTCGAAATTATAACCCGTTTTGAATTTAAGCGAGGTCGAACCTTCCTTTCATATGGCGATGGCCGACGACTGTAAGGGTGTTAATTCGAGCGAGGTCGAAATTGTAACCCGTTGTGTTATTTCTATTAGGGAACATTACTCGTCGTCGTGTTGTTTATGCGTGCGTCGGGGCAAGTCCTGGTTTGCTTAATTTCATTTTCGTTTAGAGAATGCTGAGCGTTTTCTGGGTGAGTCCCAGTTTGCTTAATTTCACTTTCATTTGGAGGATACTGAGCATTTCGTGGGTGAGTCCCAGTTTGCTTAATTTCACTTTCATTTGGAGGATACTGTGCGTTTCCTGGATGAGTCCCAGTTTGCTTAATTTTGCTTTCGTTGGAGATTGTTGTTTCAATAATCGACCTGTACCGAGCCATTCCTGTTATTTGTAATATGGTGCGGCTTAGCGAGTTTTGCTCGGTCGTTGCTCGCGAGATGGTACGGTACGGAACCTTTTCCTGGGGTGTTTCAGTGGCGTTCGTCCCTTGCTTGCGTACCTATGCGAGTGCTCGTGTTCCTGTTTCGAACCAACAAAAGGGTGATAAGATAAACCTAAAAGAAATCGTCTGTTACCTCGCCTGGAAAGTCGATGAAAGGGGGAGCGGCGCTGTAGGGTTACTCGCTTCGCCTCGTACTCGAATAGTGGTTTCTGATTTGGCAGCCATGTTTGGCTTCTCCATTTAATTGTGTCTAGGCTTCTCATGAGTTGGGCTTACCTCACCCGTTAGGATGCCGAGGTCGAGTCCCAGTCCGATATGCGCAAACAATAAGGGAAACATATTATACTTTGTTCATAAATCATCCAGTGTGCGTGATACGAAAATAGGGCAGGGTGTGCTTGCTATTTCAAAGGGCCACGCACTAGGCTATCATCCCTTCCCAAGGGGTGGAGGTACAGGTCGGAATACAAGGTGAATACATCGCATGGGATTGCGGTTATGCCAGGCGCATAGTGACCGTGGTTCTACTTCAAACATGCATATGACCTAGATTGGTATAGTTATCTCAAAAACTTATCTACCATTCTTTTCGAGTTGGCGTTGTTACCGAGGTGGTGAGGTTGTAACAGCCTGGAAGTAATACTTGACTGGTTCTAGATCTAAAGGAAACTAAAGAATTTGACTAAGAAATTCCCCACAGACGGCGCCAAATTATTTGACCAAAAGGTGTTGAACCTTTCAATTAAATCAATTAATGATGAGATGAAGAGTAAATCCTAGCCAAACATAATCAACTTTTAAATCTAAGCATATTGGATACTAAAATCAAATGAGATTGAGTTTATATAAAGTTTCTCAGAATGATTAAAGACATCAATCGTAAATGACAAGCTTACATCTTTGATATATTGTTCTGTATTTGTAAAGCAAAGAAGATAAAGAGGGAATCTCGTTGATAACTATGAGATCTAGCTTTATTGACTCAACCACGATGTTTGCAAACGTTTGTAACCTATAATCTAGACTTCTTGCTTTGTTACTCAGAGGTCTCCTCCAAGTCTTCTGTTTCTTTTTCTCTACTAGGATCCCCCTGCTTTCTGCTTTATCCTTCATATATATACTATCCAACTTCCCCTTTATCCAACGGTCTTTGACCTGCATACCCCTTCTCGACTATCTTCCTCTTTACTTGCTCGAGCACGACCGCATATATTCTACTGTGCAAGTCTTCTCGATGGGTCGATCTCGGCAGTGGACGAGACACTCGTCACCATTACGCCTTACAGGTACGTCCATGGCTTGATCGACCTCTTACTATTCCCCTTAATGGTAATCCACTTGTGGTCAGATTTTGACCCATTCAACTAGTGTAGTTGGTTTGATTACATATACGATGCATCTTGATTTTTTCAGATTAATAGCTTCACCTACTATAAAATTATTGAGGCATTCATTAATTAGGAATTATGATAAAGGGTCGAAATTCAAAAAAAAGTATCGCTGGTAATAGTATCATCAGTATATGTAAATTCACTCAAGGGAAGATTAAATATTACCATTTGATAAATATTAATGCAAAACAATCAAAGAAAGAAGGGGGCACGAGACACCTCTCTCTAAGGAATTCAGCAAATTAGCCTCGTAACTCCGGGAGAAGAGGTGCCTCCTCATAAAGGAGATACAGTGATCAGGCATGGGTGACCGTTTACCAAAAACACAAGTCTCCGCAAAGTTGTAAGACCATATATGGGGTAGATGCCTGCCCAATGCCACAAGGTCAAGAAAGTTGGTGACTTGATGACAGGAGAGCCAGCGACCGAAGCACCGGTGAAAGGGTGGGGGTGCATATATAATTATAATGGTCCATGATTATGAACCCGAATCCGTTAGTATGAAACATTTGTTTTCCAAGTCAAATCCCTTAGCTATGGAATAAGAAGCTTTCGTATCTTAATACATGTATTTAATTTATTCAAAGTTATTAGAGCGAGATCCATTTTTTGGAAAATATGAGTGGAAGCATTAACAAGAATATTTCTATAGTAGAACATCGTTCGATCTTTAGTCTCAAATCTGTATACATAATTCTATTATAAGTGGTAGAGTGAATTACAGTGACATTTATATTTATATGGCCATTTATGGTGGTGAAACTCGAAATAGTAGTGAAAACGAGGGTTCCGATAGACAAACTCACACGATGGACAATGATTTAACTATAAGATAATTTCTAATGATCTCGATGTAACTAGAAAATATGTGCATTTGTGAGTTCAATGCGAAAACTGTTGCATAGAAGATACATATCTCTTCTTGGTGTCTTGTCCAATTCCTTAATTAATTTTTTAGGATGCTTGATATGTTCCTTTCATTGCAGACTTTCACAAAAATGATGAACTACATGATCTGATTAGTCAATGGGTACTGAACGGCCAAAGACAAGAATGCTTTTTCTTACTGATTCGAGTTATCTAATTTTCTGTCTAAGTAGAGAGATGATCAATCAATGGTTCTTCTTAGTCTTGGCACATCATGTTTACGATTGAAAGATTGACTCAATACAGTGTTGTCATTAATGAATATAATGTGACAGAAGGTAGCTACCTCTTTTACTTCTGGGGCAAGTCCTCTCTTTTTTTTTATTTTTTTTTATTTGTAAATATTTTGTGATCCAAAATAATCCTATAATTACAAGTAGTTTAATTGCATTATTGCGGAGAATTAAGTTATGTTGCAAGGCTCAAACTTTGTTTGACCTTCACTGGTGGTCAGAATTGGAGCTAGCAGGAGTTTAGCAACGCTACGGTTCGGCAGAATTAAGTATCTTTAGCCAGTATCTTTCATTGGCTTAGGAATTCTATTAACGATATATAAATAATTTATTTCTAAATCAATAAGCTGTATTTTTAGAATTAGAACTCATAAACTCAAAATTCACGATCAGCAATCTGAGAGTGATTAGGAAGAAAGTCTGCTATAGTGAGATTCAGATTTTAAACTCGTGCGAGCTAGAAAAGAAAATCTGAGAGTGATTAGTCTCATCGTATATGAGGATATTTAACTAGAGGTGGACCTATGTATAACTTTGAGAGATTTTCGGTCCTGTAAACTTTGACAGAGATCTTGTATATGTATCTGTGTATACTTTGAAAATGGTTAATTTAGATCACCTGATGCTCTCAACACTAAAAGGTTTTAGGAGCACCGATTGAGTAGAATACTAATACATCTGTCACGTTTAAATCTTGGATCCACCTCTGCATTTGTGGAACTATAAAAAAACCAAATCATAACATGAGGATAAAAAAAGTCTCATGATATGAAATACTAAAACTGAGGAAACATACTAGTACTGGAAATGGAAAAACTTCATGTGATATGTGGATGGAGTTCTAATAATTTCTTGGATTTTGGGTAACCAAGCCAACAAGCAATAGACAACTTAGCCTTGAAAATGTGGGTAGTCATAGATATATACTTAAAAAAGTAGCACTTTTTGCACTTTATCTTCCATTTCCAAAGAGTCTTTACTTGAATTGCTAGTTAGGATATTGTTTCTCTTGGAATTCCTCTAATTCATTTTTCAAGAAAATGAAGACAATCTTGTCCCCTTATAACAATGACTTCAAAAGCATATGTTAAGCTTTATCAAGACCCTCTTATTCATTTTTAGTGCCCACATTTCACTAAAGAAACAAAACATAATAAAATTCAATATCTCAATTTAATTAAATCCCATGTCCCAAAAGACATTTGTGGTCCCTAGACCAGTTGCTAGACCTTTTCCTTATATGTTTGTGTATATATATACACTAAACCAAGCATCCATTTTGTATCACTTACCATTCACCTTTTTAGTTCATATCTTAGACTTGTTGAAAGAAACAAAAAAGTAACTCACTGTCTGCAGCTTCTTTTATTCCTTACCTTTAAAGAATTCCAATTCTGTGATTATTTCTGTCAACCTTTTTGTTCATTCTCTTTTAGAAAAGTCTAAAATCTCTTTGGATTTTAACCCTGTTCTTGAAAATGAAGCAAGTTCTTCTACTTCTTCTTTTACTATTATCCACTTTAGTCTATGAAGTACAAGGTAGACACTTGAAGAAGGGGAATCTCTCATCATCCAAGAATCCCATATTACAGGTGAGAATTACATTCATACTTTTCAACTACACAAGGTTCAAGCCGTGTAATCAGCCACTGATGCTTGCATCAAAGTAAGCATCAGAGTAGACTGCCTACTTCACGTCCTCTTGGGCTGTCCTTTTGACTTTTTCAATTACTCATTATCTCAGTATTTCTAAGTCTGCTAAAAGCTTCATAATTATTTAGCAGGAAAATGTTTTGAAAGAAAGAAGTGAAGGAGGTACTGGAGAAGACATTCTTTGCAAAGATGGCCATTGTTCATCATCAGGTACAATGAAGAGAAGACTTACTAAAGTAACCACAAAAAATCACCATTGGTTACCAAGTATACATGAAGATTATTATGGACCAAGAGGACATAGGCCTAGACACCATTAACTTAATTACTACTACTAGTTTAGTAATCTTTAATTTCTATTACTAGCCACATTTCCCATTTCTAGCTAGGTTCTTGAAAATCTTAGAATAGTTTGGAATTTCTCTCTATTTTTGGCTTGAGCAGTGGGATTTCAATAAAATCGAAATCCATGCCCATGTGTATTTTTCACAGAATAGACATTTTAACTGATTTATGGATTATTTAGCTTATTAATTAATGGTTTGCAACTTTATATATTGTATCGTTTGGTTTGTTTATTCAAGTGGTTCTTGAAATGTTTGCAGGAAGAAATAGGAAACTTATGACAAAAACAACCTCTACTTCTACTCCTACCACAACTTCAACAAAGGTTGGTTAATTTGCATGAAAAAAATTGAATCAATATTAAAAAAAAAAAGAATATAAATAAAAAGTAGATTATGGTTTTCCTATTTCTTACATATTTTACATGTATGTACAGAATATCATGAATAATGAAGGCAATAAAGGTGATCACACAGTATTGAAAGGCCAATCAAGTAGTGAAAGGGTAATAGGTGGAAAAGAAGAAAATTTCTCCGTCAATTCGTCGCCGGAAACCGGTCACCGGAAAACATCTTCCGAGCACTACCCTGACGTACTAGACTTGGCCGGAATGGATTATTCCCCGGCAAAGAGAAAACCTCCAATTCACAACTAAGAGATGATCAAATAGACGAAGAAGTTGGAAAATATTTGTAGTAACTTAATTAAACTAGATAAAGATTTTGAAGTGGAGACAGCATACAGAAATGCTGCCCTTCTTTTAGGTTTAGGAAGATTTTGTACATAAAATATTGTCATTACTTATATATTATTAGTTGATGATTGAGTCATAATCACTTCATGATCAATGGCTAAGTAGCCTTTGTAACCTATAAAATAATAGTACAAAGTACCAATAATAACGATTTATGGCAAATATTGAGCTAACTTTTTCTATATTATTATAAACATGCTGCGAGTATATATATATATATATATATATATATATATATATATATATATATATATATATATATATATATATATATATACCTACCTTCATGATTGACATCCAAGTGCACTTGTATGGCAATGGAGAAATTGAGAAGAAAGAGAAATTGAGATCAATTTGACAAATATTAAAGAATAAGTCAAACTCGAAACTTCACATTTCCTTCTTTAGAAAGATATCAAAAGGTAGACTAAATTCCACCTCCAAAAATGGTAGAAAAATAGTATCCCGTTGAGATATTTCGCTTATCGAGAGTCAATTTATCTAAACTTTAAAGCTAAATTGAATTAGTTCAATTTGGTATTTTACAATTAAAATGCATATGTTCAAATACTATATGAAAAGTACAATAACTTGTAATTTTTCTCATGTTAACATGATAAAAAAATATTTTAAAATATTAATCAAATTTCACATAGTTTGGCTTTAATATATTTAAATGGAGAAAGTAGCAAAGGACAAACAAGCATCCCTCCAGGATCTAAAAACACATTTTTTCATCTTCTTTTAAAAAAAAGAGATTGGAGAAATTAAAGAGTACATGATGGCATATATCTAGTTGGATAATTGAGAATTGTGATTCATCTGTAATTAATCAGAGATTTCGGACTCGAGTCCCGAGAATAGAAAACCACTTTGTAGGAAGCGTTTCACTCTTCTTAGTGAGCTTAACTAATCTGAATCTGAATTAGTTGCTAATGGCACTCCAGAGCTTAACTAATCTGAATTAGTCACTTATGACATTCTAATGCTGAATGTAATAACAATAACAATATATTCAGTGCAATCCCACAAGTAACGTAATGTGTATGCAGACCTTATCCCTACATATACAGGTAAATATACTATTTCTGATAGACCCTCGGCTCAAGGCCAATGTTAAATGCCTAAAAAGAAAAAAAATTGATGGCCAAAGGACTAGCATAAAAATAGATCACATTAAAAGCTAGAGGCATATGATATGAATGAAGTAGGTATATGGATCTTTGCATTATGTGATGATGCTTTTTGGGCCCAACAAATTGGTTTGGACCAAGTTCAAAATGTTTCTCTATTAAATGCAGTAACGTGAGTAGAGTGGTATGCCTGACATGTGGGCCATTATGTTTTTGTTAGGTCAAATAGTATTTGGGCCCAAAAGAATGGAAGATATATACGGAATTTTGGACCACAAAAATGAAAAATCTTTATTTAATGTGATTGCGACTTTGTAGTTTGTACTGGCTAAAAAAGTTAAAATAGTTTCTCATTGTATAGAGTTATAGTAGTTAGTTATATTTACATTGTCGGACTTCGGGTTGTAAATTTAACAAGTCTAAAATACAACCTTCATTAGTTATAGCTTTGTACTCCAATTCTTCCATCATAAGGCAGAAAATATCCAGATAAGTTCCGACATCTATCACTCGTGTAATAATTACTTTGTCGCAATACATAAATTATAGTACTATCAATAAGTCAACTTTCTGAGACTTCTTGTTCATTTTTCTTCATAATTATCCATGGTTGTTTTGTATTAATGGTATTTTCCCCTGCCGTCGAAGGATGTAATAATATATCTATAATCTACGTATGATATGTGTATAATCGTATATAATTCATATATAATTTAAGTATTCCAGCTATAAGAAGTAAACAATAAATTCGACTGGCTATTTAACACTAATTCCCCCTACCCATAAATTCCCCCTACCCATATAGTGCTTAATGTTGGATATAAGCACATCATGGGAAAACTTGTAAAATTTTCATGTGGCGCCCAGTTTCGCGCCACCCATTTAATTTATACCTACTTTTAAAAGAAAGTTTAACTGATACTCATTTTTTGGATAACTTTAGATACACACACTTTTCTCTTCTTCTTTATTGTTGTTTTCTTCTTCTTTGTGCTTAGAATTTCTTCTTCCTAGTTGCAAAATTAAGTTTATGAAATTTGTTGTTGTTTTGACAATTTGACGATTGATATTTGTTCTTTGTGATATTTGAAAGTTATGTTTCAAATTTGAGCTCAATTGAAGTATATTTGAGCATTTAATTGTGTAGTGGATTGTTCGAATTCGAATAACAAGTTTATATTTCACAACTTAAGATTCAAAATCTGAAATTGCATTCATTAGATTAAACTACTTAAGATTCGAATTTCTGAAGTTGCATTTGAAAGATAGAAGAACTTCATATTTGATTTCTGAAGTTGCATTGAAGAAATTGAACTACTTTAGATTCGAATTTCTGAAGTTGCATTTGAAAGATAGAAGAACTTCATATTTGATTTATGAAGTTGCATTGAAGAAATTGAACTACTTCAGATTCGAATTTCTGAAGTTGCATTTGAAAGATATCTAAAGGAAGCTCTTTCCTATCTTGGTGCCATGCGAATGGTGCATGGTGGCAGGAAGAAATGTTGGGCGAACATAGTTGAAGAGGATGGCGAGTTACAAAGTGATGGCACACTATCGGACTTAGAAGATGCACCAAGCAGAGGGGTCAAGTTTGCTAGCAAGGTTGGGACCACGGAGGGCAGCCAAATATGAGTGGAAGCATAAACCCAATGCTTGAGAAGCTGCTACACTTGGTTGAGTCATGGGGAGATTTAGGTCTAGATCAAGGACAAGCATCCGATGGGTAGAGGATCGATGCCATCATTTCTAGCCCTCCAAAGCACAAACGGGCAAGAAGAAAGGTGACCATTACCTTGTGATATGGGAAGGTGCCCATAGGGCATCATGGCTAATGAACAAAGATCTCCAGCAACACCGTCTTCCTACCAAGTCCATAAATATGTGGAGCTTTCCAAGGAAATTCTCCATAGATCTAGAATATTCCACCAAGAGCTAGTCCCTAACTTATGTAACCCTTCTATATGGCAAAAATATATGCCAAGTGATACTTACGTGGCATGATGATGTGGCGGACCATGACATTAGGCTCAAACAAACATCAACCCTTATAATGCAGTTTAATAGTGTACGTATCTGAATCTTCGTCTCTGATTTATTGTAAGAAAATGAAAAGGGAATTTAGTAACTGATGGATTGCGTGCATTTGTTTCCAATATAGCTGTATCACTGAAGACGAAAATTATTGTAGTATATGTCAAACTAGGATATTCATGAATACTTTTTATTCGTATATTTCACTCCAATTTCGAGTCAGTATATAGATAGACTTTAACGTGAACAAGAAAAACATAACCTACAAGGAAAGAAATAAAACATATGCACACAGTAAACTAATTAGGATACTAAATATCTTATTCTATATACAAAGAAGTAAATAATTATAAGATACTGCTTACAAGGAAATATATAATATAAGAAAATCAATCTACATCTAATATAGCTCAAACCAACACTTTCCCTCATGTTGGCGCGTAAATATCTGCCATGTCCAATTTGTCAATTATACCGTAAAACACCTCCTGAAACAACTTTTGTGAGTATATCGGCCAATTAATCTTTAGACTTGACAAAAGGAAACTGTATAATTTTTTGATCTAACTTTTCCTTGATGAAATGACGATAACTTTAACATGTTTGGTCCGATCATGTTGTACAGGGGTTTGTGCAATCTCAATAGCTGATTTATTATCACAGCAAAGAACTTTTGGTTTTGCATAATTGACCCCTAAATCATTCAAAAATGTGCTAACAGCCACCGATAGCATGTTAAGCCAATGTTCTCTTGCCTCAACCGCTAGAAACTGCAGGAGAAATCAACTCTGGTTTATGTTAACCCGTAAAACGGTATAGTTGAATTTGTAATGTGATTTATAAACACATGAATTAATTTGATCCAGAAATACAAAATAGATAAGAGTAAAAACGAGATTATAAAAATAACTCTAAAGAAATACAAGCTAGTTGTATGGTGAGCCTCTCCGGGAGCGTTAATAAGAACAATATTAAGAACGAAAGAAAGCAAGTAATTTTTAAAATCTCAATACTCAACAAATTTCTTTTTTTTTTTTGGTGATGACAAACTTCGCACACACTAGAACTAGGTAATCACTCCAAATAATGATCAACAAGCACAGTACATTACACAGACAGAGCCACACCAAATCAAATCCATATCAACAAAACACCCCTAACCCCAACTCTATCTTCCCCCTTTTGGCATCATTAAAAAATAATAAAAAGATGTTACACATATTAAGCACAGGTAATGAAAGATTCATGGCCACTTAGGCCACAACACAAGCTCAGGAATTATCAAAGCAAACAGACTAAGCTGATGATCTAACCATGTGAGAAGCATTAAAATATTATAAGAAAGGTCATTTAGCAGTGACAAAATAAGCCCGGGGCCTTGTCTTAAACCATTAGAACAAAATAAACTAAACATTCTACAACCTACTCAGACTAGAACAGAAGAAGCAAAAACTAAAGCATCACTGGGATAACAAAATAGACTAAGGACACTGGGGAAGGAATATGTTCATGGGTGAGAGGTAGAGGGGGTCAATGCTTTCACAAGGGTGACAATCTGTTGGGTATGAGGTTCCCTATCCTTTTTTAGCTCTTTCCTAAGCTGCATGGTTTCTTATCTCAACTCATCATTGCCTTATCGAAGCTTGGCATTCTCCTCAACAGCCAACTCCAACCTCTTAGTGAGCTTTGTTTCCCTGCTACTACTAGGTAGAATAGCAGAACTTGTTGGTCCTCTAGCCTTGATCTCCTCATAGCCACACTTCTTGAGGGTAACACCATCCAAAACATCATTATGATTTCCAAACTTAAGCTCAGGCAAGGCAATGTTGAGCTTGTCAAACAACTTAGTCAACATGATGCTATAAGGCATAACATGCTTAGGCTTGGAAGTGTATGCAACTCTTGCCATGTGCTGAATTATCAGGATGGGGAGATTGATAGGTCTACTAGTGTCAAACAACTCCATTACAGCCATATCCAAAGGATAGCCTCATACCTTCTCT